GACGAGAATTCCCACTAGTTGTCAATTCTGAAAGAAGAATAGGATCTACAAGTACAACTTCACCAACAACTTCTCATGTAGTTGTAGAAGACAACATTGTAAATATTAGTACGCCAAAAGGAATACATAGGAGGTAAATATTTGAAGGTTTAATTTAACAAAAATCACAAAGGGGTGATTAATAGTGATGTTCTTTTAGAAGTGACTGGTTGGATGCAAATGTCGACATTGAAGAAAGTCTACCGGTGGCATCTGGCCCTGAAAGACGAGTATGCAATTCATCACCAAGAAGGTATGCTCACAGTGATATTTCTGAAATTACTTTTCAGCAAGGTTTTATTTTTAATGATCTTTTTTATTCTGTTGAGCAGGTCTGTGGCAAGAAGACATGACTGTTTACAAAATACTCCACATTTGACGAGGTGAGCATGAGACATAAAAGACAAAACATAAATTTGTAAAAAAAAATTTATATTATTTCACAAATAAATAATAAACATTGGATGTTTTACAATCAGTATGTTATGTTTATATTTAAACATGAAGACTTTTTTAAATTTTCAGACTTGCAAGAAGTAAACACCGTCGACAAAGCAGCAGTGATCCACTGAGTCCAACATGGAAGCGTCGAAAACGGTATTTACCAATTTTACAATATTTCATATAAATACTTCACAGAATCATTTCTGTACTATATCTTCACAGTACCCAAAGCAAAGGAAATAATGTCCAAACACTGTCAAGAAATAGAAAAAGAATTTCATGAACATTTTTTGAAGCGAATTCACAGTCCTTCGGTTTCAGTGATTTTTGGTACGACAAATTTGAATATACTGATTCCTATGATAATTGAGACATAGAATGAGACAAAATGTTTTTATTAATAGCTTTTAACTTTATACTTGTAACACTTCTCAGATTCTTAGTGACTTTTAATTGAAGACTCATTGTATTCATATTCGTCGTACCAAAAATCATTTGAACCGAAAGACTCTGGATCCACCTCAAGGGATCTTTCTGAAATCCTTATACTGTTTCTTGAGTGTTTAGACATTACTTAGTTTTATTTTAGGTACTGTATATTCTCTTTTTCATTAACTTTTTAATTATAATTACACTTATTGATTTTATTTATTTGTCATTAGTATTTTTTGTTATCACATGAAATATTTTCTGGATTGATCATGATATGTTTCTTTATACATATACACATGCAGTAAATAACACAAGTATTTCATAAAAAATCAATTTTATTTTGTCAGTTATTATATTTAAAGAATTTATTCATGAACCGGAATTTGTTAAGTACATGAGATGTTATATATGGGGCATTCCACGTGAAATCAGCAAGTTTTGTTTACACAATTTTTTATTTTTGTTTTATTATTTGATTATCGTTAGTACATGCAAAAGGGGGATAATGTTATTTCCGGGGCCCCTCAATTTGATAGATGTGTTTAATAGATCTTTCACTGAGAAAAAGAATGCCGCAAGTCACAATGCGCTACGATGCATAGTTTTCGAGATATCGATTTTTAAATGTAATAATAGCAATATTGTTGTATTACATGGGTTTGCAATTTATGGGCGACCTTACCGATTTCAATGACCTTCATTTATGTTGTCGATATAAAACGAGATGTCACATGGGTTTGTGGCGTGCTTTACGAGCTCGTTTAAGTAGAGGTGGTATTAAACAGTATAAGTTAGTCGATTATTTGCGTGAATATTTGTGGCTATATATAATAAAAAGAATTGGAGGAGACCCATTAGTTGCACACTCTTCATTTTCAATAAGTTGTATAAAAAAATAAAAGATTGTAAAGTTCTCTCCAATTTTGGATGAAGACGTGGATGTTTCGGTAGCGACATTTTGATACTAAATTTTACACTGCCTAGTGTACACTAGACTTGTATACTACACGTTTGAATAATAGTAACACGTCAAACAAAGAGAGTAGTATGAATAGAAATGTTGTGAGTGAAAAGTAGGAGGGGGCAGGTGTTTTGCGTAGGGGTCACTGCTAATTCTGTGTATATTATTATACTATGTGATAGATTATATGAATTGATATCTCGAAAACTATGCATCGTAGCGCATTGTGGTTTGCGGCATTCTTTTTCTCAGCGAAATATCTATCAAATACACCTATCAAATTGAGGGGCCCCGGAAATAACATTCTTGCCTGCAAAAGAAGTCTTGTTGACCATATACAGCATTTTTATTTTTATTTTGAAACATGAAAAGAATCACATAAAATGTTGTATATATTGATTTTATGACAGTATAGTTGAAATTATGGGATCAGGTCGGTTTGCAATTAAAAATCGTCTTGAAAAAATTTAAATAAATAGAATTCCCCTGAATAACATGTGAACTGTATGATAAAGGGGCCTTATTTTTTCTGAATTCAACCTGAATTATCTCCCTCAATTTTGGTCGAAAAAAAAATTTTTTTGTCATTTTAAAGATAATTTAATGCTCTACAAGACGCATTAATCCAAAGAAACAAAATTTCAAATTTTTACTACAAATGTCCGACAATTTTTTGCAATGTTTCCACGTTTTAAATCGGCTACCGCCGGCATTAGCATTGCCCAAGATGTACCCTGTGGGTATTCTTATCAAAGTCTTATATAAACCATATCTATATAAAAATTGGACTATCTACAATAATTTATCCAAAAATTATTTTTTTTGCAAATGTTTACAATTTTTGGTATAAGTATAAATGATAATGTCGGTATTAAAAAAAATATAGTGAAATCATTTAAAAGGGCCAAGTTTTATATGTAGATAAAAAAATAAATTAAAATTTTGTTTATTTGGATTAATGCGTCTTGTAGAGCATTAAATCATCTTTAAAATGACAGAAAAAATTTTTTTTTCGACCAACATTGAGGGAGATAATTCAGGTTAAACTCAGAAAAAATAAGGCCCTTCTATCATACAGTTCACATGTTATTCAGGGGAATTCTATTTATTTAAATTTTGTCAAGTCGATTTTTTAATTGCAAACCGATCTGATTAATACTTTATTAATCTAATACTTTATTAGATCTGATAAATACTTTAAAACGATTTTTTGTTCTCATCCAATAATATCTCGTCAAAATGAATATTTTTACAAGAAAGGTCATTAAAAAAACTACGAAAATCATATCCTACATTAATTGTTTATAATGATACTTTTCTGTCTAAATAAATTAAGTGAAATGAGGACAGAAAATTACATTTTTCCAAACAGACACACAACTTTCAATATAATCGAAATAAAAATGCTGTATATGGTCAACAATACTTCTTTTGCATGTACTAACGATAATCAAATGATAAAACAAAAATTAAAAATTGTGTAAAGAAAAGTTACAATACAAAATTGTAAATTTACAATATTGCAACTACAAGTTACTTCAAATAGTTTATATCGCGACTTCAGTGAATTTTGTAATGACGGAGTTTACAGCATTTATGTGTGTAACATACGTGTAGTCACTTTTTACTTACAATTCACTTGAAATTTGTTTTATGGAAGTTTTTTTAAATTTATATTTACTGTTGCGAGCGCGCAACGATTAGGTAATTCGATAGGTAGCGACAGAAGTCGAATATGACTTCCGCCGAAACTCCTGACGATTGCATCGGACGAGCGATCATCCGATGCAAGTCGACACCGGAACCCGGAGCGCGGACTCCGGAGCGACCGAAATCGCTGACGCGAAGGCCATCGCGAGGCGTCGGCAACGAGAATTCCGCGCTAACTCGGAAGTCCCGAGTTAGCAACAAGACTCGGTCGCAAGACTATAAAAGACCGCCGAATTGGCATGCCGGGCAGTCGGTCGAAGAACAGCTAGCAGTCGCGTCGAAACACCTACGA